ATTAGAAAAAAAACCACTAATTTTGTTATCTGCATCAAGAGAGCCAATTAAAACAAAATTTTAGGAGAGGCTCCCTCCAAAATAGGCATGCAATGAAACTTAGTATTTATTTCTGTTAAAATGAATAAAAACTTTAGAAGCAAACAAGAAGTAGAAAGAAATTTACTTAATTTTAGAAAAGGTTGTTTCCCAGAAACCTACAGCTGTCATCAGAGCTAATGAAGAAATATGAAAGCATTCTCATTTAAGTGAGGGACAAGAAAAGGATAACATACTGCTGGCCACAGCTGTCGTGTGCGACAGTGCAGTCCTGGAATCCAAGCAGCTTCTAAGCTGGAGACCTGTGACCCCGGGCACCTTCACACTACCTGGGAGCAGATAATGCAGTGAGAAGGTGCCGGGTTAGCCCACCTGCTGTATCTGTGGGTAACAGGCAGGGACTGCATGTGCCCTTTGAGGCATTGGTGCGATATGCGGGGTCCCAGGGCAGGAACTGTGGTCCTGAGGGGTCAATGGTGGACATATATAATACTGTCAACAACAAAGCTTAAAAAACATCAAAGCACATGGAGCAGCGCTGAAGCAGCTGGCCTGTAGCCACTGATTGTAACATGAATGAGAAATAAATGTTTGTTGTAGTAATAAAAAGATTTTTTTTTAACTTTTGTGCTTTAGAGTGTTACCAGACGGAACAGAGTTTAATTACTCAGTAGTTGCCAGCCAAAAGACAACTTCGAGATGATTTTATGAGAAGAAACAAATCTTATTATGAGCCAGCAATCAAGGACAGACACATCGGGGGTCACTTTCCAAAAATAGAGTGCCCTCAAACAAGGATCAGATTTGTCTTTATTCAGGGAAATCATGCATAAACATGAAGGTGAGCTACATCATCTATACATATTTAGGAAACATGCCCATAAATACATGGAGTGCTAAAAAATGGCGGAAAATCTCAGACTCTGGCAGGAGATTTTAGTATTATAATGAGAAAAGTTTGAGGAGGTCACTAGAGGGTCTTCGAAGCCGCTTGAAACTGGCCTTGGGCAGTTTTAGCCAAATCAATTCCTATTGCTACAAAACATCCTGGGCTTGTTCCTAAAAAAACAGCTCTGGCACCCATCAATGTCAGGGATGGCACAGGCTGGAAAGGAAGTTTAATCAAGTTTAAGCCTTCCTGTTAAACTCTTAGCAAATTACAGGATATGATTACACAAATCTTATAAAATTTAGGATGATTTAAGAGGGTTAACAGGTTAATCTAAGCAAAATTATTAATTCTAAACAGAAGTTAGTCTATGCTAGACTACCAAGTAGGATTAATTCTAGACTTTTGCTGGAGATCAACCACCTATTTGTCCTGAGCTTTCTATCAGCCGTTGCAAAGGGGAAAACTGATCAGGTGCACGATTTATAGTATCTTTGATATCAATAAATGAGGTACTCAATAATCTGTGGCCAGATTATTATGCATTCAAAGATCATAATAATCTGGCCACTCAGTGTGTATGTGTGTATAGTTACACGGACTCAACCAAGAAAGCGAAGACAATCCTCAGAATGGGAAACAATATTTAAAAACTATAAATCTGACAAAGGATTTGTGTCTAGAATGATATATAAAGAACTCTTAATAACTCAATAATAAAAAGATGACTGAACCCTAGCTGGTTTGGCTCAGTGGATAGAGCATCAGCCTGCGGATAAAGGGTCCCAGATTCAATTCTGGTCAAGGACACATGCCCAGGTTGTGGGCTCAATCCCCAGTATGGGGTGTGTAGGAGGCAGACAATTAAAGATTCTCTCTCATCATTGATGTTTCTATCTCTCTCTCCCTCTCTCTTCCTCTCTAAAGTCAATAAAAGTATTAAAATAAAAAGATGACTGAATTTTTTAAAATGGGCAAAAATCTGAAGATAGTTCTCCAAGAAGATACACAGATAATCAACATGCAAATGAAGAAAATGCACATCAAAATCACAATGAGAAACCACTTCACATTAAGATGGCTAAAATAAAAGAGCCCTGGCCCATATTGCTAAGTGTGTAGTGCATCCCACAGACCAGAATACCAGGGTCAATACCTGGTCAAGGGCAGGTACCTTTTGTTGCAAATTCCGTCACTGACCCAGTCGGGTAAGTGCGGGAGACAACCAAATGTGTCTCACATCAATGTTTCTCCCTCCCTATCTCTCTCTCTTTCTTTCTCTTTTCATCTCTCTAAAATAAATAAGTTTAAAATGATATATGTAAATTATAGCCCAATAAACCTGATATTAAAGAAAACAAGAATATAACAAGCATAACTTTTATGTTATCTTTAACATACTTAAAAATACATAAACAGTATGTGGTATCGTTATATTTTAAAATTTTAAATATTTGATATCACATCTTTGGCATTTTATTTTTTCACTCAAAATTATCTTCCAGGTTAATCTATTAATAAAACTTTTATTGCCCTAACCGGTTTGGCTCAGTGGATAAAGCATCAGCCTGTGGACTGAAAGGTCCCAGGTTTGATTCTGGTCAAGGGCATGGACCTTGGTTGCGGGCACATCCCCAGTAGGAGGTGTGCAGGAGGCAGCTGATAGGTGTTTCTCTTTCATCAATGTTTCTAACTATTCTTCTCTCTTCCTCTCTGTAAAAAAAATTTTTTTTTAAATCAATAAAATATATATTTTTAAAAAAACCTTTTATTGCATCAATAAAAAATTCAATTGTTCAATCCTAAATACCAAAGCTTTCCCTTGATCTGTGTGCCTTGCCAGCTGTCCTATTTCACTTCAGAACCAAACTTTTCAAGTTCTTACATATACAATTTCTACTTTTTAACTTCCTTTATTCTACTCACACTGCATTGAAATTGCTCATCAGTCATCACCAACCTCCACAGTACCACAAATACCATGTTTTACCTTGAGATGCGCATTTAAAAATTTTTCCAACATCTCTACAATGAGATGTCTTATGGTTGATGACATCTAATCATTCTAAATGTTAGCATTTTTGTCTTAGTTGCACATAAAATAATGGTGATTCTTATACTAAGTGGCATCTTATATTCAGTGAAACATAGTACAATGGACAGGTTTGTTATTTTCTGATCTTTCAGCTACATTGGCCCAAACTGACCTCAATCTCCTTGAATTCTTTTCTTCTGGCTTCCATAAACACCCTCTCCCCTAGTTTTCCTCCCACCTTCTGCCCAAGCCTAAGTGTCCTTTGCTGGTTCAAATGGTGGACACTCAAGTTTCCTTCAGCAATCATTTCTCTCTCTGACAGCTGACAGTGAGTTATAGCTCATGCCCAAACTTATTCTCAGCAATCCAAACTCAAATCTGTCTTTGAAGTTCACATTTCTACTTGAATATCGGAAAGGCATTTCTAGCCAACATGTCTAAAATGAAATTCCTGGTTATCCCTACTAAACCTCAATCTGTTTCTCAAGCTAGAAACTGATCATCATGGTTTCTTCTTTTCTCCCATTTCTAGTTTATCACTCTTATTTAATCTATCCACAGAATACATCTAAAGTATGTCCAATTTCCCCAACCCAAGTCCAGACCACCGCCATCTCTAGACTACACCAGACTTCCACTCAACTCTTCCTTCTTTTCTCTTCAGTACAAGTTACAGTAACCAGATGGGGTCATTTTTTAAATACAATGGACCATGTTCCTTTCCTGCTTACAGCCTTCAAGAGCTGTCTTACTACAGTCAGATGTGAGGCCTTCTTAGGCCTGTGTGATATTATCATAGAATCAGAAATGTGTATTTTGGTTTATGTTTCAGCTCCTTGTCAGAACTCCTAACACCTTGTAATTTCTTAAGTGATAAGAACCATAGAAACATCATTTGCTGAAACATTTGGGTTTTATCATGTCTCCTGAACCAGCTCTGGAGTAGTAATGGTGATGTGTTTTGTTGTTCATAACAAACCCCTTTCAACCACACCCGAGTTTACGTTAAGGAGGTGACTTTAGGAAAGCCCCTAAGGATGGGGCCTGGTTGCCAGGGGAAGCAACCTTGTGATTGGAGGTTTGGAGGTCTTATCCTCAGCCCCTGACCTCTCGGGGGGAGGGTTTGGAGGTTGAGCTCATCACTAATGGCCAATGATTTAATTATTATGTCTACCTAATGAAGACTCATAAACAGCCCTAACTAAAGGGCTTTGGAGAGTTTCTGGGTGGGTGGACAAGAGCACATCCATGTTCAGGGAGGGTAGCACATCTCGCTCTCTAGGTGAGGCAGGATAGTAAGAAGTTAGGAACATTCCTTGACAAGTAGAATGGGGAAACGGACAGATAGCTGATTCAAACTGGCCCCATTCAGTACCCTGATTCGCCTTCTCATTATCCCTTGCATGACCACTCCCTTAAGCATTAAGCTCTCAGGACAATGAAGTTCTGGTCCATACCAAATAATCAGGAACAAAGCCTTGGGTCTGTGCTGGCCAGGTGGCTCAGTGGGTTGGAGCATCTTCCCATGCACCAGTGGTTTCAGGTTTAATTCCTGGTCAGGGAACATACCTAGGTTGCAGGTTTGATACCTGGTCAGGAGGAACTGGTTGATGTTACTCTATCACACTGAGGTTTCTTTCTCTCTATAAAAATCAATAAAAATAGCCGGGACCGGTTTGGCTCAGTAGATAGAGCGTCGGCCTGTGGACTGAAAGGTCCCGGGTTCGATTCCGGGCAAGGGCATGTATCTTGGTTGCGGGCACATCCCCAGTAGGGGGTGTGCAAGAGGCAGCTGATCGATGATTCTCTCTCATCGATGTTTCTAACTTTCTATCCCTCTCTCTTCATCTCTGTGAAAAATCAATAAAATATATTAAAAAAAAAAATCAATAAAAATAAATCCTTGGGAGGGGATTACAAAAAAAAAGCCTCTGGTCTGTTGACCAGTGACAGTTTTGGTCAAACTAGAGATAACATCTAGGCTCAGTTGTGTTTCATCCCAGGCTATTATTTAAAGACAGAATTGAGATAAACAGATAAAAGTATTTAGACTTTATTAAAAATTTAAACCACAGAAACAGAAATTAAATGTACAAACAAGAAAGCAGGGAAATTATTAGATAGGAGAAAATGATTAATACAGCAAGGGTAAGCCATATGAACAGTGGTCCTCATTAGCATATCAACCCCTTTCTCCTTTAGGAAACCAAGCTGTGTCATCACAGAGGGTAGAGGGGTTGGGGCAATTTCCTACCCACTCGGTTTCTCCACTCACAGAAGCCTATCCACACACAGAAGCCTCGGTGTGCAGAACGAAGTTCAGAAGAGCACTACCTATACCTTGAACTTGCTCTTTAGCCAAAGTGGCCAAAGCAGCCAGGATACAGAACTCAAGCCAAGAAGGCAACAGTTCTCGTAAAACCCTTATATGCTTAGTCACCTAAAAGGCTGTATCTTAAACATACTAGACTCGATCCAGAATGAAGTGGTGGCAGACCTCCCATAAATGGTGGGTTACTGGGCAGTTGAAAAGAAACACTGGCAAAGCATGCCCACCCGAGATGGTGAGAGAAGCAGAAAAGGAGCCTAAGAAATAAACAGCAACATTCCCAGCCACAACCCAAGCCCAGCAGCCTGGGGAAGACAGATAGTTCAACTGCCAGACCTGGCCCCACCACTCTCTGTCCCCCCACAGTTGGGTTTCGTATCCTTGAAGCATGGGGTGCAGTGAGCATGGACAGACTTCCCAGCCAGAATGAGGAAGCTGCTGTGGAGGCTCAGAACTGCTGGAGGATTATCTTCTGCTTCACGTCATGGCTGAACTTGTTCATCCGAAAGAGCTCACTGTCATAAAAGGCAGAGAGGTTGTGGATGTTGATCTGACGGGCCTAAAGGGAGAAAAAGTCAAGTGAGCCGTGGAAATGGATTCCAAAATGCCCACGTCCATGTAGCCTTGGGTTCAGTTTGCTTTCTAAGGTCCATGCACTGCAGGCTGGGCAGGGCTCCCATCTCCATTATAGGGAAAGCCAACCAGGGCAGGGGCTGGCTGTGTCAGGGTCTGGAGCTAGACACAGGCTTGCCATATTAGCTCTGTCAACTGCCTGTGGGCTCAGGAGAGCTACTCAGTACCCTATGATGTTTCCTCTTTAAGATGAGATATCAGTAACAGGATTAACCTCTTTTGGCTGCTGTCAAAATTATAAATGTATGGAACAGAATTCAGTACATTACAAACACCCAATAAATGGCTTTCATCCGATGCCCACCCACTCACTGACAGAGCAAGGACCTTCTGTCTCCAAAGATGACTGACAGCTCCCCAGCTAGCCAACCCTGCCCTCCCATCTGTGCCCGTACCTTGTCCACCAAGTCCTTCTCAGGCACTTCAATAGTGTCCTGCTGGGCCCCAAAGCGGTTGCGTTGATACGTCACCTGCTCTGCCACTAACTGCTTGAGTATGAAGAGCAACAGCTCATTGTTATCACGTCGGAATGAAAGGTAGCGGGCAAAGGTCTGCATGAGACAAGAGCAAAAAAATCATCATCTCCCGCTACCAGGAAACTCAGAACTAAGGGATGCTGACACCCCACTCCCATCATGCTTCTTCACCACCAGCAAGAGCAGCCAGGGACTTCTGCTGCCAGGCAGCACAGCAAAGCCAGTGTCTCGAGATGCCCATGTAGCTTCCCTCCTAAGGAACCCCACCTCAGTGCACACCCACCTTCCGCATGCTGCGCATGACACTGAACTTCTGCGTGTCGATGAAGCTCTCCAGCATCACACGGATGGCCATGTTGACGTCATCCTCGATCACATAGTCCCGCAGGTGGATGCGTGCGTGGGCCTCTGCCATGCGGATCATGGACTCGATGTGCCGCACTGTGATGGGGATGCTGCCTGTCGCCTAGAGAGGATAGCGTCAGATCTTCTCAGAAGAGGCCAGGGGAGCAACAGCAGCAATGCTAAAAGCCCAAACCCAGAGGGCACATCACCCCATGGCAGAAGTGCTCAACAGAGCCAGCAGGTGAGCTCACTTTCTATTCCTTGGAGTATGGTGGTAGCCAGGGGATGCCTATGCCATGGCCTGCCACTATCATACCTGCACCTTCTGCCCCCAACCGTTCACTTATACGCATTCCAGCTGTCCTTGCTACTGGCATGTACAATGTAGAGAAAATAAGCTGTTGTTTCTATGAAAACTAAGTTGAATGCTCTGAGAAGACTTGATGAAAAGGTTAAAAAAAGAAAGAAAAAGGTTGTGGTCTGACTAGGTGTGTGAGAAGGACCAGTCTACAAGAATTCTGTATTCCAAATGCTTGCACGCATTTAAATCCTCTTCCTACCATAAGAGAACCAAAACCAGCTCAGAGCACCTGATGATTTGGTGAGATTTATGCAAAGTCAACATGGAACTTAATCAGTGGCCATCAAAAGAACTTGGTCATTAAAAGACATTGGTCCTATACCCACATTAAGTGACATCTAAAACAAAACACTTCGGGTATAAGGTATGTACGTTTCCTTTACAAGGCCTCCTGCTTTAGCACTTTTTTGATTAACTGAGTACAAGGATGAGAAAGCTGCCGCCTATTTCCTGCCCCACCCAACCCCAGCCTGCCCTCCGGCTTCCAGGGCCCGCACCATGGATTCTTTCCTCAGGTCACTGTACATCTTGGCCACCTTATCCTGGTCCATCTGATTGAGCTTCGGGTGGACCTTCTCCTTGGCATAGATGATGTACTTCTTCAGGACATCCTGCGGCAGAGGCTCCACGCCGAATGTGTTGGGCATGGTGGGTTCTGGGGTGCTGCCCAGCCTCTCCTCCTCCTTGTTACTGGGGTGGTGTCTGACGTGGCTGCCGACCACGAAACGGGCCAGCATCTCATCCTAAGGCAAGGTGGAAGAGGGCAGGTCACAGGGAGAGTCTCGTAGCCTAGCTGGGAGAAGTCAGCTAGCTGGAAGAAGTGCGGGCTGATATGCTTCAGAAGAATGTTCTCTCAATACTTATATCCCAAGCCTTCTATGTGCTAGGCAGCTCCAGATACCCGGGTCCATTGGTAAATGTGACCACACTCTCTCATGGAGCTCACCTCTCAGGGAGGGTAGAAAAGAAACAGTTTTTAAATTAATTACAGAAAGTAACATGTGCTAAGAAGAGAAGTAAGGCAATGAGTGAGGGCGTAAGGAGACTTCTCCAGGTGAGGTTGCTAGAATACCTCTGTCGTCTGACAGTCCCACAGAAGAGCATTCCAGGAAGGAAAAAGAGCAAGTTGGAAGCTCTGGCATCTTTAAGGTGTGGATGAAGTGAGGAAAGGAAGAAGAGGTAAGTGCAGAGATCTTTTAGGCTGGCAGCCACAGCAAGGATGGTGGATTCTCTGATGGTTACAGGGAAAGCTGCTAGCAGGTTCTTAAGAAGGAAAGGCATGACCTGACTTATGCTTTCAAAGGACAGGCTGGCTTCTAACTGGAGGTCTAAACTGGGCATGAGCGGAAGCCAGGAGATTAGCCTCGGGACATCACAGTACTTCAATCAGAGCAAGAAAAGCAGCAAGTGAACTCTGGCAGTGGGAACAATAGAAGTTGGTGGCAGACTGTGGAGTGTGTTGGGTAGACAACTGGGAGGGGGACCGGTGAAGGAAACAGAAATCAAGGTTGACTTCTGGACATAAGAACAAGAATGGAAAACACTCCGAGGTCCAGGTGGTGCCCCCTTTCCTCATGCCTGGCATACCACAGGCCCCAAGCCTCACGGAGGTTCCCAGAACTTCCTGCATGGAAGCTGGGACAGGTGACTGTGTACCTGCACGGGGTCCACTGTGTCCCTCACCACACACAGGATGTCGAAACGGGAAATGATAGGCTCTGTGAGGTCCACGTTCTCTGAGAAGGTCAGTGAGGGGTCATAGCGGCCGCCTGAAACACAGAGGAAGCTATCAGCGTTCATGTTCCCGCATTCTCTCTTCTTGAGCCATAGAAAGTTCTCTCCAACCCCAAGTTGCTTCAGTGACAGAGGGGAAGGGCACTCTGGCAGAGGAACTAGAAGAGGGTGGAGATCCAGCGCCTAGTGTCTGAGGTGGTCTGGACAAGAGACAGAAGAGGCTTTCTCAGAGCAACAGACTGAAATAGCCTCGAGACAGAAAGCATACATGTCTCCCGGCAGGAACAGCCAACCAGACAGGCGAGGGTGCCCGGGCTCTCTAAGCTCTTGCTGGCTGGGTTTAGCAACCACTCCTCCCACAATTAGACAATGACCTAAATTCTTCTCTCAGGTGTTCTAAGAATGGCCATGGGTGGTTCTGAGAACATGGCTCAACAAAAACGCAGGCACATCACTTCCAGCTCTGGCAGGCCATGCGAGAAAGAATCGCCTTTTGCTGCCTAACTCAGATCTGGGATTGAAGGAGGGGTGCTGTGGGTGCCTGATTCCCGAAAGCAGGGTCTCTCTGGGTCTTGTCCCCTTTAGCAGGCCCTGAGCCCTGCCAGCTAGTGTGCCTGGTATACCTATGGGGTTGGCAGCGGCAATGACGGTGCAGCGAGCCTGTAGTGAGGTAACGATGCCAGCCTTCGAGATGGAGATACTCTGCTGTTCCATGGCTTCATGAATGCTGGTTCTGTCCTGGTCATTCATCTGCAAGAGTCAAATGCACGATTCTCCATGATATGCCTCACTAACACTTATCCTCCACTGTGGGCTAAGCCAACACACCCTGAGTCCATCACCCACAAGGTCCAGAGCCCACCTTGTCAAATTCATCGATGAGACATACTCCTCGGTCAGCAAGAACCAGGGCTCCAGCTTCTAAGGTCCACTCCCTGCTGACAGGGTGCCGCTGGACATATGCTGTGAGGCCCACAGCTGAAGCCCCCTGGCCGGTGGTGAAGATGGCACGGCTAGACACTTTCTCAACATATTTGAGGAACTGAGACTTGGCTGTGCCAGGATCTCCGCACAAGAGCACATTGATGTCACCTCGCACCTTGTGCTTGCCCCCTGCAGGCAAGGATGGAAGAAGGGGGAGTGCAGATGAAAGGAAGGTAAGGGGTATAGGGCTTATCTCCAGTTTCTTAGCCTATTATGAATGGCAAAGAAATATTCTCTCCAGAAAGGGTTGCAATACTCTAGGATTAGCAATCACACTACTGAGCAATGATCCCAGAAAAATGGGTACATAGGAGGTGTATATAAATATGTTCTTTGTAAATGTAAAAAACTGGAAGCAACTTAAATGTTCTCCAACTAGAAAGATAACCAAATACATTCTGCTACAATATATGGATCATGATTTAATTTAAATTACACACAGTAATTTAAAAGAATGAACTTGCTCAGTATGCACTAATACCAAAAGATAACAAAGATGTGTTTCTTGAGTGAGAAAAAGATGGATACTTTATGCATATTCACTTATACAGACATACAGGAACTGTAAAGAGAAACATGCTTTGTGTGTGAAATCCTGTGTTTTCTAAGTATATGTGCTAAACCTATGAATAGTCACACAAAAGTCTGGGAGTACACAAACCACAAAGACCGAAAGAGTGACCTAAAGGGAGGGAACTAGAATTAAAAAGGGTGGTTGCCCTGAATGGTTTGGCTCAGTGGATAGAGCGTCAGCCTTCGGACTGAAAGGCCCAGGTTTGATTCTGGTCAAGGGCATGTACCTTGGTTACGGTCACATCCCCAGTAGAAGGGGGTGTGCAGGAGGCAGCTGATCAATGTTTCTCTCTCATCGATGTTTCTGACTCTCTATCCTTCTCCTTTCCTCTCTGTAAAAAAATCAATATATATATATATATATATATATATTTTAAAGGGTGGTCGACAGTGACTTTGGCCTTTCTCTAACTTCTAATTATTTAAGAAGAGGATGTAATATAAGTAAAAATTCATGTATTTTTAAGTTGAAACAACTTTTTAAAAGATAAAGTTTAAAAATAGGAGTGAAGCAAAGATGAATTTGCTCATCACAAAAGGAAGGCAATGGTAGAGCCAGGGACATGGTGATACCCCAAGATGCCATGCCATGGGCTATGTTCTACCTGTGATGACTGAGCCACACATGGTCTGGCCACCTCTTAGCAAGCTTTACATACAGAGTCCTGCCTTGTCTGGTGTCTAGAATCTGGCTCCCACTAAATTCCCTGCAGAGACTTCTCACCTGGGTTTTTGGGCTCCCCTCCGAACAGAGCCAGTGCCAGGCCTCTCTTGATGTCTTCGTGCCCGTAGATGGAGGGAGCAATACTGGCAAAGATCTGAAGAAGGAAGGGAGAGCGCCATGGGAATAGGAACTCTGCTCTGGAGTCTGGGCAGATAACTACCCTGTTCCATCTTAGGGATGGAGAAGCCCAGCCCGAAAGCACCCACACTACATCTGCTTCGATTCCACCAGGTCTGGCCTTAAGCCCGACCTTACGACTATAGGCCTTGCCACTGGTGGCTCTTTCTGAGAATCACAGAATTTAATGCTTAAAAGAACTTTGGTCAGCCCCCTTTGTGTTGTCCTAACTTAGAAAAGACTACCCCAAGGTTGCAGATCAAGAGCAGGAAGGAGACAAAACCCAGGTTCTCACATGAGCTCTGTGGTCAGCCTGTGATGGGGAAATATAATACAAAGCCGAAAACGGCATTAAGTGTCCTTCAATGGATGAATGAACGAAGATGTAGTACATAAAAATAATGGAATGAAAACAAGTCAGCCATAAGAAAGGATGAAATACTGCCATTTGAGACAACATGGATAGATATTAAGAATATCATGCTGCTGAAACCAGTTTGGCTCAGTGGTAGAGCGTCGGTCTATGGACTGAAAGGTCCCAGGTTCGATTCCGGTCAAGGGCATGTATATTGGTTGTGCGCACATCCCCGGTGGGGGGTGTGCAAGAGGCAGCTGGTCGATGTTTCTCTCTCATCGACGTTTCTAGCTCTCTATCTCTCTCTCTTCCTCTCTGTAAAAAAAACAATAAAATATATATATATAAAAAATATATATATCATGTTAAGCAAAATAAGTCAGACAGAAAAAGTGAAGAATCATAAGGTTTCACTCATATGTTGGACATAAAACAGAAAGCAACAAATGAACAAACAAAACAATAAAGAAAACTCAATGACAGAGATAACAGTATGATGGTTACCAGTGGGAAGGCGGAGGATGAAGAGGGTAAAGGTGGTCAAATATATGGTGATGGAAGGAGACTAAACTTTGGGTGATAAGCACATAATGCAACATACAGATTATGTACTGAAATATATAAATACAGAGCTTCAGGGAAACGCAGCTACCATGAATTCAGGTCATTTCAACCGGTGAGTCACTGAAACGTTTTCCATTTGTGTGTGTGTGTGTGTGTGTGTGTGTGTGAGAGAGAGAGAGAGAGAGAGAGAGAGAGAGAGAGAGAATGTAAAATCTGCTGAATGTTAAGATGAAACTAGAGACACATCTTGCTGATGGGAGAGAGAGAGAGAGAGAGAGAGAGAGAGAGAGAGAGAGAGAGAGAGGGAGGGAGGGAGGGAGGGAGGGAGGGAGGGAGGGAGGGAGGGAGGGAGGGAGGGAGGATGGATATGAGAGAGAATGCCAAATCTGCTGAATGCTAAGATGAAACTAGAGATACATCTTGCTGACGGGAGTCAGCTTCCACCTATGGCATGGTTGTGCCTTCACTATTCTCAACCTTTCCACCTTCTGCAAAGCACTGTATCCTCACAGGTCAGTCTGAGTGGTGTGGGGAGCGCCAGGCCCCAGGATGAGACTCTGTCGGGAAATCAGCACTAGAAGTGCTGAGGGAGACCCACCCCCACAGTGCTGGATCCAGCTGTCTTGTCTCAGCCACCAGCCAAGTGGAAGAGTTACTCCCTCTGGCCTCCCTGAAAGCACGGAGATGAGGAAAACCCATTTCTGCGAACTGGGGCTGGGGTCAGCAATCTATTCTGTGTATGGCCTCTCTCCACCAGAGACCGCAGAACCTTCTGGAAACAGGATCTGCTGATAACAGTGCTGCTGGTACCAGAAATGCCTCCTGCCACTATTTTATTAGTTAGGAGTAGAGGTCTGTTTCTACAACACTGCTTCTTTTTTTGTTCTTTCTTTGACCCTAAAATTTACTGCAATCCCCAGTCCAAGCAGAAGCTGTTAGCACTGTTAACATTAGTGGCTCACAGTGGTCCAGGCCTAGTGCATTTATAGGCAGATGTCTCCAAATACTGTTTCCCAAAGGAAAGAATATTTATCACAGGGTTGTTTCGAGAAATAGCCGATTCCAGGTCTGGAGAAGCCTGCAATAATCATAGCACAGAAACCTCCACAACATTAAAACCTACATCTTTACAATCATGGAAATGCCAACATCAGCCAAATAACTGATAGGAATTGCTAATTATTTTTAAGTGTGATGATGGTATTGTGATTTGGTTTTAGTAGAGTTTTTTAGAGACACATGCTAATATAGTTACAGATAAAATGCTGGCATTTCCTTGGAAATACTTGAGAGGGAGTGCAAACACAGAGAAAACAAGCTTGGCCAGACTGGAACAACTGGTAAAACTGAGTGAGGGATGTATAAGGGTTCATGATACCATTCCATACACACATAAATTTCTGTAATAAAATTTTAAAATATAGATCAGGATCTGCGCTAGGGTACCCCACAGAACTTACAATTACCAAATACACATGCATCCTACAAAACTCTGGTTTCTGCATGGAGGGAGCAGAGTACAGTCATTAGAAGTCTCTGAGGCCAGACTGCCTGTGTAGAAATCCTGGCTCTGCCATTTGTTAACTATGTGATGTGGGTGACTTACTTAACCCTTGTGCCTTAGTTTATTCATCAATAAAATGCACACAGATACATCTCGATTACAGGATCATAGAACAGAAACAGTTGTTACTATCTGGAAATTACCTAATCCCATGGTTGGCAAACTGTGGCTCGCGAGCCACATGCGGCTCTTTGGCCCCTTGGGTGTGGCTCTTCCACAAAATATCACGGCCTGGGCAAGTCTATTTTGAAGAAGTGGCGTTAGAAGAAGTTTAAGTTTTAAAAATTTGGCTCTCAAAAGAAATTTCAATTGTGGTACTGTTGATATTTGGCTCTGTTGACTAATGAGTTTGCCGACCACTGACCTAACCTATCTGGAAATTACCTTGGTACCTAAACAGTGCCGAGCAGACTGGATACATAAAACAATTTGTTTATTACACCCTCATCTGCATTGGGGATGTTGGAAGACACTCTGCCCCAGATTCCTATCCTCCTACACACCTTGTGCCATTGGCCCTGAACTCTATCCAGATCGCTCTTGAGAGCTGTTTCTGTAGCGGGCAGCCCTGCAGCATGAACTCATGTCTCCCTCCAGGACCATGAGCAGCCTGCACCCTGCTTGTTGATAGCAGGTTCCCAAGCTGATACCCTGCCTCCCTGTGGGGCAGTAGGGAAAGGGGCAACTGTGTTATTACCTACACTGCCCACTATGCCCTGTGGCTGACTCAGTTCCTCTTGGAAAGTAACAGGCCAACTTAAGCAGAAAAGCAGAGTCCAGAGAGATAGCCAAACTGTTTGGCATTAAAAACTGAACAGAAATGGAGAGTGAAGCAGAGAGAGGAAAGGAGGGGGAAAATTAAGAGAATTCTGGGCCTGCGAACACTTAGAACTTGGCAGCTGGTGACACCTAAGCAGGTACAATGGGAGAGGACTTGTATGAACAGAAATTTAACATTCTATTAGTTATCTTTGTGTCTACAATGGCAATCCCCTTCATCCCAACCTTCAGTGAAAATGTCTACATAAAGGCACCAAAGCCATATTGCGGTAGTGCTCTACCTGGAGAAGACTGTGGGCAGGCGCCTGACACCAGGGGACGCCTACCTGAGACAGGTTATTGCTATTGCTCTGCTTCCCTTTCAATTTCATATGGGCTCTGCATGATCTGGTAAACCCTACAACCCTGTCCTATCTGGGTGGGGACATAGGCTCAGGCCATCCTCACCAACATTTATGCTCTCCCCCTGGCAAGTTTACTGAGCTGCTACTGGGAGTAAAATAAGGGAACTCCAGTTTCCAATACCTGGAAATAAGAAAGACTAAGGTTCCAGGGCAGCCTGGAGTAGTAGCCAAGGCTAGGGCAGCGAGCCCTGTGTACCCACAACACCCCCACGAGCCCCTGGGTTCCTTGCAGAGCACTGTAGCCCTGCAAGAGTTCAACTTGCCTTCTCCCCGATCTGCTGGTCCTTGGAGAGGCTGATGATCATCTTCACATCTTCGTCGGTCAGTTCCCCCACGGCAACCTTGTTGTCCTTCTTGGCTATGTGGTTGGCTAAGATGACCGTGGCAAAAACGGGGAAGCCATTGGCAGTGTTGAGAGAGCCGTCGTAGTTGTTGTGGTAGATGCCGGTCAGCTCCTGGGAAAAGGCAGACTATGTGGTCAGAGGGGCAGCCCCAGGGTCACAGTGGGAGCTGGGCCTACCTCCACACCTGGCTTCACCCAGTTGCTTCTCCTTTAAGTCCTCCATGCTACAGACATCAAGACGAGAAACTCAACAAAACCAAAGCACAACTATAGTCTTCAATCCAGTATAAGGGTCACTTAAGAACTTAGCCCACTTCCCCCATCTGCCATCAACCCCTCCCTCAGTCCACCACAAATCTCCTTAGCAACTCAGTTCCCTCCCAGCCCGCTCCTGGCCACATACTATCTCGTCTCCTGGCTTGCAGCTGTCCACCAGATCGGCGAGGAGGATAGCATCCTTGGAGCGGGGCAGCCGGCCGGCCGCCACTCTGCCGGGACTCTCCTGAATGCGGATGCGCTGGTAGTTCTGATAGATGGTCTGCAAAGACAGTCATGGGACATGTCCCCATGGGGCACACTTCACACTTCTTCAAGCACTGAATATGTCACCTGACCCTGACCACGTAATACAGCTGTTTATAGATCTTCTAATCTTTTGAGTCACTTCCTGGCTGGGTGACCCTAGTCAATGTCTTCATTGGCAAAATGGGGTAATAGTACCTGCCTTAGAGGGCAGAGGAAGACTACATATGTTTCACCAGGCATCTGGAAAATACTCTAGAAATAATCCTCAAAGAAGCCATCGACTTTGATGCTTTAAACAAAATCAGTTTTTAAAATTGGCTTAAATTTTTGAAAACATCTTGTGGGCAAAACTAAACAGGCTGGCCAGACAGATGAGCTTTGCCCTATGGCATGGCTAATACACTATACCTTCTTGCTTCCCTCGGCTGCCCATGCTAGTTTTCCAAACTGCCTAAAATGTCAGGCAGGCCCTTCATTCATACCAGGGACCTGAGACAGGGACAGACAGCAGCCAGTGCTGCGTGCTTGCTCACCTCTTCCATGTTGACCTCAAAGGGGCCAGCAGACTGGCACTCAGGACAGGAGCCGGGCTTCACCTCCTGGTTCTGGGACTGAGCGAAAGGCCCCAGCACAAAGCTACACTTGTTGCAGTTGTATTTGACCATGCTGAGCTGGGGCAGGACGCCTGTGCAGCTGGTCACCACCCCGCTGGTACGGATCAGCTGATTCAGGTGCAGCTGCCTGTGGAGATGAGAGGGCACCTCAGAGGCCTGGAACCCCGATGCTTGACCCGCACCCTCTGGAGAGGTGAGGCCAGCATGTGAGAGCATTCCAACATCAGATCCTGAAAATCTGGGGCCTGGCACCACCACCAGATCCATCGTACCCCACCCCATGCAAGCCAAACTCATGGCTGAGGCCTCTCCTTGGCCACAGCCATCGCCCACACCACCACCCTGAAAAGCTCTCTTGAATGATGCCTGGAGCCATAGGGTGCCAAGGACCAGACCCCCAGACCCTGCCCTGTCCTCAGCTCACCTCAGTGAGCGCAGTTCCTCCACCAGGGGCAGGTGGGAGATGCGCACGTGGATGTGGCTGGTGATGCGGTCGTACTTGGGGTACATGGCCAGCACGACCTCCAGAGCAGCCTCATCGAAGATCTGCAGCAGCTCCGCTGGCGCCTCTGGCAGGAAGTATGCCAGGACGTGCTCCCTGGCTGCCAGGTCCTCGTAGTTCACCACCAGGCTCTCACGGTTCTCTAGAGAGGGGAGTAAAGCTGGGTGTCAAGCCAGAGGAAGCGATTTCCGTCTCACCGTGCGAGGAGGGAAAGCCCAGCTCTCACTGCTAAGTCCACCTTGCTTTAACCGTGTGACTTAGATTCCCTGACACATCCTGAGTCTCCACTTTCCAATCTGTAAAATGAGGAAGTCGCTGGGAGAATTAAGTAAAATAACACACACAGAATGACTGATACAGCAGGTCTGCAACTTGAAATGCCTATAAGGACCAGGAAGGAAACCAAAAAATAAACTTGTGTCAAATGTAAGGCTCGGCAAATGGAGGGGACAGCAGGAAACAAAGAACTGCATGCCTCCTTTAAAAATAATCCCTGTCCCATAGAAATGCCGCTACTTTCTAATCAAAGTAGTAATCCACATTTTTTACATAAAACCTGACAAAATTTTTTTTTAATTCTCACCTGAGGATATGTTCACTGACTTGAGAGAGGAGTGGGGGGAGAGATAGAGAGAGAAACACTGACGTGAGAAACATCAATTGGTTGCCTCCCGTATGGGCCCCAACAAGGGATCAAACCTGCAAACTAGGTATATGCCCTGATCAGGAATCGAACCAGCAACCTTTTTGGTGTCCTGGACAACACTCCAATTGAGCCACCTGGCAGTGAGGCAAACGTGCCAAATTTTAAACATGTTAAAATACACTTCTGGCAGAAACCATTTGGCTCAGTGGATGGTCCCAGGTTCGATTCCGGTCAAGGGCATGTACCTTGGTTGTGGGCACATCCCAAGGGGAGAGTATAAGGGGGGGGGGGGCAACTGATCAATATTTCTCTCTCATCAACATTTCTAACTCTCTCCTTTCCTCTCTGTAAAAAAAAAAATCAAAATATATTATTAAAAAAAAAAAGAAAAGAAAAAGAAAAAAAAAAGAAATACACTTCTGAGGTACAGATTTACTCCTTGGACAATCGGCTGGACTGTCCTAGTGCAGACACACAATACTTTTTTTGTATTTGTCTGAAACATGGACACCGTGGGCACCAGGTCCTAGCTCCTGACCAGCAACAGGAAAGTTATTTAATGTCCCCTACACTCCATGTCACCATTTAATGTGCTATTACTGGGCCAAAGTGGTAATTTTCTGCAGGAGAGTTTTGCAAGGTGGACCACGGTGAGCAGAGGCCCCGAGTACAGAAGCCAAACCTTTGCACATGTCACTGATGCGCTCCTTGAAGACATTGTGGCCGTGGCTGTCCACATGGGTGCGCAGGAAATTCTTGAAGCGGTGGTGGATCTCCAGTCGGGGGCCGGCCATGCTCACCCACTCGCGCACAGAGTGGCCCTTAAGGTCCTCTAGGTTCTCGATGCTCTCGATCATCTCGTCCTCCTCACCGTCTTCCGTGGCCCGCTCCACAAGGCGGCGTTTCCGGGCGGGGCGATCCTCATCCTCTTCATCGCTGTCTGGGGACAAAAGAGACAGCCTACAGTGAAGTCTTCCCCAGCTCCCAGAGGCTCTGACAACAGGACCGGTCCCCTTGGGGTTGTAGACATCTCAACCTACCATACAAGAGCCCACGGCGCATGCGGCCCAGGCCCCGGCCAGCCTCGCGGTCGCGCTGCCGCATGGCCCGCTCCGCCGCCTCCCTCTGACTGGCCGTCAGCTCCTCTACATCCTCATCGTCCAAGGCCAGTCCGTCAGCCTCGTAGGTGTCCAGCTCCGGGATGGCACGGTAGTCCCTGAGAGACCCCCAAAAGGACCCTGTTAGTATATATATATAAATAAATAAAACAACCTCAGAAAACAAACACAAAAACACCACCCAGGAACTGGGTCTGGGCCTGAGGTTTCCAGGCCAGAAACACAGAGGGATCAAAAGGATCTCCAATGGATAAACCAAGTGTGGCCTATCCATGCAATGAAACTCTTTTCAGTTTCCAGAAGGAAGGAAAGTCTGACGAATACCACAAGATGGGTGAACCTTGAGAACATTATGCTTAGTGAAACAAGCCAGTCACAAAAACACAAACAATGTACGATTCAGCTTGGTATGAAAAATTTCCAGAGATTTTTGGTGGTGATGGTTGGACAACAATGTGAATGTACTTAATGCCACTGAGCACACTTACAAAGGCTTTCAGAGAGTCAACCCCAGCTCCCTGAGTGGGCAGGAATTTTCCCCTCAGACAATGCGGCCTCAAACCCCTTCAAGTCATGGGAAGGTCTTCCACTGACATCAGCCAAACCGGCCTCTCTCACATGCCTGCCCTGTGGCCCAAGCCTCTCAGCTTCTCCAAGACTGTCAAGGGCTCATTTTCCACATTGTCACCTATCAGCGATCTGAAGGGAAATGATGCCTTAAGAAGGAACTCGAAAGAGCAAAGCCCTGCTCTCCCTGCAATTCTGGGAGTAGACATCACTGCTCCATCCAAACACGCGGAAACGGAGCATTAGGGAACAATATGACTTTTGCCAATAGTTGCTCAGCAGGGTTGCATGTCAAAAAACAATTCAACTATACAAATCACAAAGTTTGTTCGCCACGCCACACTGCCTTCCCAAGATAATCCTCTTGCCTTTTCCCTTTAGTCTACATGTGTCAAACACAAGGCCCGTGGGCCAAATCCATCCCGCCAGGCCTTGCAATGTGGCCCGCACCGCGCTGTCATCACTGCACTCCGCTGCGTTTCCATCACAATGACAGTTTATGACTGTTCGGTAAACCATTCGGCCCGCGATTTAGGCTGGATTTTAGATTTTGGCCCCTTCTCTGATTGAGTTCGACACCCCTACTTTAGTCAGTAAGTGGCAATTAGGGCAACTGCTACTATTTGGGGGTTTCTTTTTTTTTACTGTCATGCTACATTTCAGACCAAGTAATCCCATACTGCTGATGCTAGAAACAGAAGCCAGAGACAGGTACATTTCTGGGCTCATCTGCTTCTGAATTCCTAAATTCTCAGGGAAAAGGTATCTCACTCTTCAAGAATTTCAAGTCATAAAATGTACTCAGCAAAATTCCATAAAAAATTGATAAACTGGACTTGATTAAAGTTAAAATCTTTTGTGCTTCAAAATACACCATTAAAAAAAGGAAAAAGACAAGCTACAGATTGAGAAAATATTTGAAAAACATGTTTTTGGTAAAGGACTTGTATCCAGTATAAAAAGTTTTTAAAATTCCTACAATTCAAAAAAGTAAAGAATCTGGATACTTCTCTAAAGAAGATATACAAATATCCAACAATCATGTGAAAAGATGTTCCACATTAAGCATCAGAGAGACGTACATCAAAATCCAAATGAGACACCACCTCACACAACATTAGGATAGCTATTATTAGCACACACTTAGATTGCAGATTCCATCCCTGGTCAGGGCATAAGGGAGGCAACCAATCAAAGTGTCTCTCTCACATCAATCCTCCTCCCTTCCACTCTCTCTGAAAATCAATGGAAAAAAATATCCTCAGGAGAGGATTAACAAACTAAATAAATAACCATAGCATTTTCATATGACCCAGAATTCCATCCCTTGGTATTTGTCAAAGAGAACTGAAAACCTATGTTCACATAAAAACTTCATAGCAGCATTATTCTTGAGTGCCAAAAAGTTCAAAGAACCGAAATGTCCATCAAATGATCATAAATAAAAAAATGTGGTCTGTCCATACAATGGAACATTATTCAGCCCCATAAAGGAATGAAGTACTGACACACACACACTACAACACAGATGGACCTTGAAAACCACACTGTGAAAGAAGCCTGTCACAAAATCTAGTTACATATTATGATTTCATTTGTATGAAATGGCCAGGACTGGCAGCAAATCTAGGGACAGATTATTGGCTGCCTAGGGGTGGAGATGGGAACCAGGATTAACTGTAAACAGGCACAAGGGGTCTTATTGGGATGAATGGCCCCAAAAAGGAAATGTTCTAAAAATGGACGGTGGTCATGGTTGCCAAACTCAGGAAATTGAGGAAAAAGCACTGAATTGTATTCTTACAACAGGTAAATTTAACACATACAAGCTGTAGCTCAGTAAACATGTTTATTAAAAAGCCATAAACACAGTCTAATTGGGCCCATCTAGCCCTCACATACCTCTATCCAGAGGCCCCTGCAAAGGGCCTCTCCTCTTGTTCTCAAATAGGAAGGGGAGGTGGAAACTGAGGGTAGAGTATGAGGGAGGGGGATACTGCCTGAGCCACTCCACAGCACACAAGAAAGGACCTGTCTAGGGCTGATTGGTCCCAGACTTCTCATTCCTTCCAGTCTGGCATGTACTACACACTCAGCCTAAATGACAGCACTTAAAGCAAAGATCTAAATGGTTCAGTGCCCTCGACAGTCTGTGGATGGCTCACAAAGCATTCCCTGTGAACTGTGGGACGGCCTGTACAGTTCTCTCACACACACCAATTCTGGAACTCCAAGTCTCAGGAGGAGACTGTTCACGAGGCTCCTGATATTCACGTAATTCTACTACTGATGCACCTACCAAGTCCCCGTTGTAAGTATAGGATAGGACAGTAGAAATCTAACCCTGCTTTCTTACAAAGTTTACTCCCCTGTGTTCGCATTAAACCTCAATAACCTTTAATACATGTTTATATGTTTACTAATAAGTGTGAAAGTATATAACACAGGGCCTGGTGCAGATTAGGCACAATAAATGTTTGCTGAATCGAATCTAAATCTTGATTTAATAAGCACCTGTTTCTCTGAAGTTGCAGAAAAACACTCAGCTGCCTGCTTCCAGTCCTTCCCAGTTGACATCCCTGATACGGTCCTCCAGGTTAGAGACCCCTTACATCTCCCGGGGCACACATCTCATGGAGCTGGGGCTTAACCTGCCCTTAGGTGCAGTCTTAGAAAAAGCAAGTTACAAAGACCTACACTGTGGCCCCAAGAAGCTGTTTGTCTCCCCCCAGACCCTGAACCAACATGCTCTCAAAAGTAAGATGCTCTGATTTGTCTGCTTTTCCATCACCCAAAGCAAGGACACTGACACACAGTGGGCACCCTACAAAACTATTTGTTGAGTGCAGGGCCTTGAATGAAAGTACCTCTCCATGCCATCTCCAATAAGCTCCTCTCCATCCTCTTCTTCTTCCTCTAGGGGTGCCTCTGTGCCCAATAGCCCCTCAGACTCATCCTCAAAGGGAGGAAGGTCTCGCCCAGGGCTGGAGGTCAGGGCATCTGTGCGCCGGGAGCTTCGCCCAGGGCTGGAGGTGAGAGGATCGTTGCTTTGCCGACGGCGGGCAGGGCTGGAGGCAATGGTGAAGGATTCAGATGATTCCTGCAAGAGAAGGCCAAGAAGATGAGGGCTGACTTAGCTTTCTATGATAAGGTGGTCTCCTTACAGTTATCCTGTCCTCCACCACACCAAATCCCTTCCAGCCTCAAACCTGCACATGCTGTTTCCTTTACACAGAATGCTCTCCTCTGAGCTGAACCAAGGGCTTAACACACCGGAACCAGCTCAAATGTCACTTCCTCCAACACTGGGTCGTCGTTCACAATAGTTTTTTTCCAAGACAAGTCACTGAGGATACCTCATTTGTCCCTCCCCATAAGCAAGCATTCCTACCCATTTGAGCACCCACATTGTGCCAGACAACTGCGATACAAGAGCCAGCAAAATAGAGCTCTTCCATGGCCACAGACAAAAGAGTGGTGAGACCAGGGACATTTGTAATACTTTCAACATTAAAGATTTATTAAAAACAAAACAAAACGCAACAAGTCTTGATGCTCACAGTCTATGGGAAGGGTCAAACAATAAACAAGACAAAGAGACAAAAGTATTACAATAAGAAGGGCACGAAGTTGCGAGACCTTGTCAGTCTTGTGTTACACCCCGCTGCCAGGCACAGCGAGGGGGCCCAACAAGCATGTGCGGAGTGAACAAGTGACAGTGGTCTGGCAGGCTGCGCTCCGCTCGGCGAGCCCGACGCTCCCAAGCTGGAACCGGAGGCAGCAGCATCCGGACTCGAGCGGCGCGGGCCCGCTAGCTTTGCAGACTCCGAGAGAAATCAGCTCCAAACCCGAGCCCAGGGGCCCAACCTCATCCGAAAGGACCGACCAGCGGGGGCGAGGAGTGGGGGCCATGGGCAGGGAATAAGCTCAAGCAGCGCCGCACCCCCCCGAATTGTCCCAGCTGCTGGCGCGCGCCCCCCACTGCCCGCGCCTCAGGGGCTACTGACTTGTGAGCCGCGGGGACCACCCACAAGCCCCACACCCGCACGCTCACCGCCATCTTAGCGCCACACTCCTCTCCGCAGCTCCAGCAAAACAGTTTTCCCGCGAAAAGTGGTTCACGTGACCCGCCACACCGGGAGGCGTCTGATGAAACATGACGTCATGACGTCGGCGTCCATTTGCGACTCGCGGCGCGCAGCGGGCTTCCGAAGGGGGAGGCCCCGCCCACGACGCCCGGAGGCCCCGCCCACGACGCCCGGGTGGGTTGGGCCAATGACACTGGAAGCCCAGCCGCCAGCTGAGCCGTACGTGGCCGGGCTCTCAGCACTGGCCTGACCAGCAGTTTGGAAGCTGAAGTTGCGGGTGCCGACAATGGGGGCTGGCTGCGTGACCTAGCCCGTCCTATAGATGAGGCAACAAGTTCAGAGCTTTGTTTTCTGAGGTCTTAACTGTCTTCTGAGTGGGTATTCCGTTTCAGCTTCAGTTTCTGCTTCTCCAAAAGCTCTCTCGGGCTGAATACTTCAAAGCACCTAAATTCTGCGGAATTGTAGGAAGTCACTTTTTGTGTGTGTTGTATGTTTTTATTGATTTTAGAGAAAGGAGGGAAAAAGGGAGGGAGGGAGGGAAGGAGAGATGATAAGAGGGAATCACTGGTCGGCTGCCTCCTGCACTCCCTTTACTGGGGATGGAGCTCTCCACCCCGAAATGTGCCCTCACTGGAATGGAACCAGAGACCTCTTGGTTCATGGGTCAATGCTCAAGCTATGGACCACACCAGCTGAGCAGGAAGCCATTTCTGATGTTACTGTAGACGTTATCCTCACCCAGAGGAGCAAAATGCAGGGATATTCCAGGTTAAAGAACAACTATTGTAAAGATGTAGGCTGCATGGATGGCACAGTGAGTATCTGCAAGCAATGCCCAGAAAAGGGCAAGACTTGAGGTTGGAGAGCCAAGGTCAGGAAGATCTCCCAAGTCACTCTAGGTAGTTGGAGCTTCATCCCTGAGAGCAGTGGAGAGCCACGGAAGGGTTTTGAGCAGGTTAGATGAGTACTGTGTGTTTTAGGAGAATCCCTCGGGCTGCCTCTGCGTGGAAGTGGATTTGAACCAGGTTGGAGGCGGTTGCTGCGATTTTTCCTCCACTTACAGGTAGCGTAGGCTAAGGGAGGACCCTTGGTGAGCCGGGCAAGGATGGATGTCAGCCCTCTTGGTAGCTCAGTGCAGTGAACCAGCACCTCTGGATAGGACCCAGAATATAGGGTAGGGGAGACTATGAAGACTAAAAATATTCAAGGAATATTTAGGAGATGGAGTCTATCAGCCTTAGGGAGTAAGGACAGCAAAAGGGAGGCATCCAGGATGACACTGGGATTCTGGTTTAGGTGACTAAGAGAAGGATGTCACCACATCTGACACATAAAATGCAAGAGGAAGACAAGTAAGTTTTGGGGAAAAGAGGATGAGTTTGTTTTTGGCTGCGTTAACATGGGTCCTGAGTGCAGCTATCCAGGATGCCATTTGATATTCATTTATGGGTGGGGCTCCAGAAGGAGTTTGGGCAACTGCCAGCCTTAGGAGTGGTTGGATAACCAGATAGTGAGTGCAGAGAGGAGAGAAGAAGGGGACCTGGGAAACCCTAATGGTTAAGAGGCACCAACAAAGGATGCTGGGCAGGAGTTGGGATACTGGGAGCTGCAGAGGGAGAAACCAGAGAAGAAATGATGGATGGGATTGTATTATTTATCTATTTAAACATAACAAATTACCTGGGAATGTAGCAGGCTAAAACAATTACTGCATATTATCTCTGTGGCTGTGGTCTGGTTGTGGGTTCATGGCTGGTGCCTCTGCCTCAAGGTCTCTCGCTGGCTGCACCAGTGGTGCCGCAATCGTGACTCAGCTCAGGGAGGCCCTGCTTCCAAGCTCCCTCATGTGTCCGGTTTCTGTTCTTCCTTGTCTGTTTGATGAGGACTCAGTTTCACACTGGCTCTTGGATGGGGGCCTCCTCAGTTCCTTGCCATGTGGACCTCTCCATGGGGCACCTCACAATATGGCAGCTGGCTTTGCACTGAGCAGTGAAAGAGGCCATACAAGACAGAAGCCACGTCTCAGAAGTGACATTCCATCACTTTTGCCATTCCCTGTTTGTTAGAAGTCAGTCATTAGGTTTAGCCACTGTCAAGGAGGGGGGGGTCTCGGGGGGCTGTCTCAGAGACTGCCAACCAGGGGTGTGTGTTGAGATGGTAGACGGGGACAGGAGGTGACAAGCTGCCAACAGGTCACATTTGGATAAGGACCAGCACTCATTAGTAGCACTGGCAAGAGCAGATCTATGCCAGATTGGTGTCATACACCACATTAGAGTGGTTTGAGTAGTAGGGAAATGAGAAGGGTGAATTTGAACAATTCTTTGAGAGGTAAATGCCTTAGGTGTCTTGACCCAAAGGGATGGAAGTCAACATGGGCCCATTGGATACTATTGTTAGCGATTAGATCCAGTGGTCAAAGGTCACTCTCCCTGTATGAGAGCCGTTGTGGCCACTGCCAATTCACTATAAAATGTAGAATAGATAAATAAAAGGCTCTCCACTGGTTCTGCATGTGCCTCATTCAGTGGAAGCCTTACTTAATTTTGATCATACTTCACACCTCTCTGCTAGCAGACTAACCTCCTGTGAAATTCCTTTACTGTCTTCATCTACTCTGACTATAGCTCTGTGTATTACCCAATCCTGCTACTCTCCTTCCTCTGTTCTTCAACAAAATTCATCATGACTGCCTGACATTAAGACCAACTACTAACTCCTCAAATTGATTTACAGAAAGCACTTCTTGAAAATGCTGAATTAGTTTGATGTACTGATGATTCTTATCTGGAATATAAAAATAGGCTGCTATCAAGTAGGCTATGCACTTGTCTCTACATGAGACCATTAGGCCAGACCAATGCCTCAGGAAATTTTGCTTAACGAGAGGAGCTCTATGCATTAATTTGAGCTTGCATTTGTTAAAATGGCTAACATTTATACTAAAGCAGGTATGGCTTTTGGTGTTGCCCATGACTTTGGTATGCTCTTCCAGACATAAGATTTAAAAAGTTCATATGTTTTAGAACTCTTAGAGGCTGTCCAGTTACCTAAATCTTTAGCAGTCATAAAAGTCCCTGAACTTACATTGGCAAACACGGGTAAAAAATAAAGGTAATCATTTGGCTGACACTGGTGCTAAATTATCAGCATTAAAACAATCTCAGCCCCTAATGGAAGCACTTATGCTACCAACTGAAGCAGTTAGAGATTTAAAAGATATAGGAGCTTAGCATTTAGATGTTCAACAAAATAGAAAGTAGTGGTTAAAGCATGGCTGTAAGTTTCTTCTAAAAGAAACTTATGGATAGGTCCAAATGACTGACCATTCTTCACTGATTGCATATAATATATTACAATGACTTAACTCAATGGAACACCGAAAAAATGGTTTCATAGGAAAACAATCCTATATAATAAAAGCCTAATATACTAAATGTCCAACCATTTCTTTGACCATTTGACCAGTTGTTATGACACACACTGACAACCAGAGGGCAGACGTTCCAACCAGTAGGTTAGCTTGCTGCTGGGGTCCAGCCAATCGGGACTGGGCTAGATGGGCCAGACACGCCTTGGAGCCCTCCCACGGAACTCCCAAATATATATAAATGGGTGTTATTTTAATCTCATGATGACTTTAATATTGTCTGTGTTGATGATTATCAGCATCATCCAACATATGGAGGACATGAAGTCCCTGCTTCAGAAATAAGCTTAATACTTCCCTCAAAGTCTGGGTTTAAGGGCCTAATTATGTACTCTCATTTAGGGGTACTAGGTATTTCTTCTTGTGTGGGACCCAAATACATGTCACCTTGCTAACTTGGAGGTGAGGCAAATGTGGTATTGTTATATTAGTATCTGATGCTGTCACCAGAAAGACTCTCTCTTCCTCTGCCATTGGCCCCAGTGGAGGCACATTTGTCTATAAACTTTGACTAAAATGGACCAAATGTAATTTGGATTTTGGGCATCATCTTTTTTTTTTATCTTTTCACCTGAAACCCTATAATAGATTAGCAAGGCTTTGGGCATTCCTTCACTAGTGGTTTCCTTCTTTGTTATGGAGTAGCTGAATTAGTAAAGTCTGTATCAGAAATCTTTCTATTCTTATAGCACAATCATGGAATGTTATTGCATCTGTTCTTGAAGAACAACAAGGAATGATGTACTAGTTGTCCAGCAAGGTGGTACTTTGCCCTATTGGGAAAAGAATGTTGTTTTTATGTTAACAAATCAGGTAAAGTGATGCAATAGCTTGAGGTTCTGAAACAAAACATTAAAATTCCTTGAACAGACAGAACATTACCCTGTAAGTTGGGATTGGACAGATTTATTTAGCTGGCTGCCTGCAGAAATAGGAACCTGGCTTTATTCTGTATTACAGGCCTTGATCATATTGGTTTTATAATTATGTTGTTCACTTACCTTAACTAGGTGTCTCACCAGCTACATCCAACAATGACTAACAATCACTCCCAGAATAATGGTAGCACCCAACACCTAGAGATGTTACAATGAATAAATCCGAGACCTCCTCTACAAAGGAACTGTTGATCTGAGGAATATGTGATTTAGCTCTGCTTCTGACAAGCCTCCTATTGCTCAAATGTGTCCATAAGCTCTCTTACTTTATACTTAGGAGATTACTTTTCCTCTATCCATGTATAGCAGAAATGAGCCTTCCTAAAGACAAGGGATCAATGCTTTTTCAATGACCAATGATATATCTTTTTTTTTTTTTTAAATATATTGTATTGATTTTTTACAGAGAGGAAGAGAGAGGGATAGAGAGTTAGAAACATCGATGAGAGAGAATCATCGATCAGCTGCCTCTTGCACATCCCCTACTGGGGATGTGCCTACAACCAAGGTACATGCCCTTGACCAGAATCGAACCTGGGACCTTTCAGTCCATAGGCCGACGCTCTATCCACTGAGCCAAATCGGTTTTGGCAGCTTATGGATATTTCTAACTATCTTTCTCCCTTCCTCTCTGTAAAAAAATCAATAAAATATATTAAAAAAATAAAACTTTAACCTAGCAATATATATAAGTAATTAATTGAGCTAGCATAGTATAAGTCTGCTTGCCAGCTCCAGTCACAGCTCTTTCAAAGCAAAATTGTGTAACTCCTTTGGAGCCCCCTTTTTTTGTCCTTATAAACTCTGTTCCTATCTTTCCCCCAGGAACGAAGTTGGATTTCTACCCAAATCTGTGTCTCTTGATTTGAAATTCCTAAAAATATCCAACACACCCAAATAAAACTTTTGTTTGCCTCGCAGTTCTCAGTCAGTTCATTGACACCCACTGGGGCTTGCAATAAAGTTTTCACAGCATCTTTTCCCACCACATGTGCCTTTAATATCATAGTGTCTGTGAGTCCTGTGGCCTATGGTACAGCCCTTTCTTCCTATGAACCTCACTCCAAGCTGGAAGCCTATTATGTCACACGCAGGTTTATGGGGCAGAGCAGCATTCCTACGTATGGAATATACTATCTCCAAGAATGGGTTCTGGCATTGTACTTCCTTTCCTGTGATGGGGTGTGCAAGATGCAATCATTTGTCCTTTACTTTGGAAGGGATGTCCTGATAGGCCCCAGACTACAGGATACCTGTAAACTTCACAGAAACTCACCCTTGGGAGCAAAAATGCCTCATTAAGGTCTTCATATACTTGTTCATCCTGCCAGATCAGCAGGATATCATTGGTATAATAAATCAAAGCCATATTCTGCAAAATGTCTAGATGGCCTGGGTTCTTCAGACTATATTAGGACAATGTGAGAGAGTGAACATAGGCCTGATGCAAGACCATAAGTAACCTGCTGTCCCTACCTGTGAATGCATACAGATCCTGATAGGGATGGTTAGATCAAAGGCTACCCATTAGTGGCCATATCGATCTGTCCTAGCCCTGACACTAGCTCAGCAGCTGCAATTTAGGCTACTACAAGTACTTTGTTGTTTGCAACAATCTACTATCAATCTCTATTTTTCCAAGGCCAGGCTGATGAATTAGGTAGGGATGTGTTGGACCCCAACCCTTCCCACATGTTTTAGGCCTTCAAAGGTGGCACTAATCTTTGCCATTTTCCCTGGTATGGGACATTTTTATATATTTGATTTCTTACAGAGAGGAAGAGAAAGAGATAGAGAGCCAGAAACATCGGAGAGAGAAACATCGACCAGCTACCTCCTGCACAACACCCACTGGGGATGTGCCCACAACCAAGGTACATGCCCTTGACCAGAATCGAACCTGGGACCCTTCAGTCTGCAGGCCGATGCTCTAATCATTGAGCCAAACCGGTTTCGATGGGACATTATTTTTTGTTTATTATCTTGGCTGATGTGGGTGAGTGAGGAGACATTTCAGGGACTTTCACTTTCACTTCTATGAAATCTCTCACCACTCAAACCAAGGAATCAAACTGGATATTCTGCTGATTATCCCAGTGATCTATTCAGCCTTCTGGCTACTATTTTGACCTCAATGGTATATGACGATTGCACTCAATGCTCCTAACAGCTGAGCACTACTATCTTGTCTCTAAATATATATATATATATAATATTGATTTCAGAGAGTAAGGGAGAGAGAGAGAAAAAAATCAATGATATGAGAGAATCATTGATCAGCTATTTCTTGCACTGCCCACACTGGGGATCTAGCCCACAACTGGGGCATGTGCCCTGACTAGGAAGCGAACTGTGACCTCCGGGTTCTTAGGTCGATGCTCAACCGCTGAGCAACACTGGCAGGACTACCATCTTGTCTTTATTATTTTGGGACACCCCTCCCCCCCATTGCTACCAGCGAGCCAGTTCTGTAGAAGGATTCCTTGTTAGCCAGGAACTAGAGAGGATACCCACCCCAGAGCCTGGTGAATGGTAAGGAACAGAACTTTGGAGTCAGATCTTTGTTTATTAAACTATTATTTATTGAAATTTGCTAATGCTTCATTCTGTCCTGGGGGTGGGAATACTGCAGTGAAGAAGCCACTGCCTGGGATGAACGGAGGGGGTGAAATAGAAACCCCGAGTTCTACAAATAAGATCCACAGAAACCTACACGAGGACATTATGATGGGAATAAACTCTTTCCTCCCAGGAATTCTGTACTGTCTTAAAAAGTGTAAAAGTGAAGATGGAAGGTAGTCTGGTCTCAGATACTTCATTTGTCCTTCTCTGGCATATGGTAGGAGAGAAGTTTCCTGCCTCCTTGACGTTAATCGGTTTGGCTCAGTGGATAGAGCGTCGGCTTATGGACTGAAGGGTTCCGGGTTCGATTCCGGTCAAGGGCATGTACCTTGCAGGCACATCCCCAGTAGGGGGTGTGCAAGAGGCAGCTGATTGATGATTCTCTCCCATCGATATTTCTAACTCTCTATCCCTATCTCTTCCTCTGTAAAAAATCAATAATATATATATATTATTTTATTTATTAATATTTATTATTTATTATTTATTAATATTATTATTTAATATTATTATTTAATAATATTTAATATTTAATAATATTATTATTTAATATAATATTATTAAGTAAATAATATATATTTATTTTATTTTATTTTTTTTTTTTAAAGTGGCCTACAAGGTGCTTTTACCAAAGTGAGTTGGGGTGATGCATGAAACTTCCAGGCAGAAACTCTAGTTGTTGACCTTGGCTCCTCCCAGCTCATTCATGAATGCAGGCATAGGCGTGGAGCAGCACTTCTGCTGGCTGACACAGAAACTATGCACGCTGACCGAAGGCCAGGGTGGGACAGTCCCAGATAAGACAAATGCCAAATGGCCACAGTGGTGACATCCCAACTCTTCCTTTTAGAACTGGAGTAGGCGAAGAACACGGTCCAATCTCCTTCCAGCCCTTGGTCAAACAACTTTGTTATCATGGGATGTGTATCTTGTGTTTACAGTGATAAGTGGATTTCTATTGTACAATTAGCATCAGGCACTGAGTCAGCCTCAGGACCTTGCGGGGAATGTGACCTGCACAGTTCGGTCCTCTGACATTGACATTCTGGTGTGGGAGGAAGGCTGATGACTAACTAGGAAGCAAATTAATATAATGTTAATGAGACGGCGCTCAGAAAGAAAAAAAAAAGGGGGGCATTATGTGACAAAGACTGCACAGCTACTTTAGCTAGAATGTTAAGGAGGGTATGTGACAAAGAGCCAGCCAGACAGTGGACAGATGCAGGGACCCGCAGGCAGGAACAAAGTTGGCAGCAGAGAAACAAACCATTGTGGCTTGAACTGCTGAATGAGGAGGGGGGCTGGTGGGAGATAAGGACTCAGAAAAGGGGGCAGGCTGTGCGGGGCCAGCGTGAGAAGAGCCAGGAGAGAACACAGCATAGAGGTCAGGAAGGCATGCATGGACCGGGAATGCTTCATTGAAGAAGTTACCTAAGGAATTGCTGAAGTTAGAAATGCGAGCAGAGGCAGTTCAAAGCAGAGCGTCTAAGCTTTGTCATTTCCTAGTTGTGTGGCTTTGAACAAGTTATTTAACGTCTCGGAGCCTCAAGTTCCTCCTCCGTAAGATGCGACTAGTAATAAGCTCCCTGCAGGGCTGTTGTGAAAATTAGTGCCTGTGACCTGGACGAAGCTCAATAATGCCAGTGCGATCTGATTTGATGGAGGCGGTCCCGGCGGCGTGGCACGCCGGTGAAACGCGTCACTCAGGTGCTGACAAACACGCCCGCGGCTCTGCCCCGCGGCGGCTTCCGGTCCCCGCCCGGGCTCTGCCGCCGAGGTCAGAGGGCCCCGCCCACCTGGCGCCTGATTGGCTCTCTCCGCTGCGTAGCTCCATTCCAATAGGCTATTGGGGGGCTGGGGCGGGTCCTAATGCTCCGAGGAAGGACTGTGGCTGCTCTCGCAGTTTTGGCTGAACCAGAAGGACGTGCCTTCCTTCCGGGTCGCCGCTGCGAGGAGGAGCCTTATGGCGTCCTGGGAGCCGGTGGGCCCGGCTCGCTGACCGCCTCTCGCCTTCCTCTCTGAGCTGTCACTTCCGCGGAGCCGGCCGCCTGCCCCAGGTGCTGGAGGCCGGAGTCCCGCGGCCTGTGCCGGGTCCGTGCACCGGCGGCTGCGGATGGGCGACCGCGGCGGCGGGGCGTGATCGCGGCCCGGAGCCCTCTGGTAAGAGGGACCCTCGACTCCTGTCATCGGCTTGAAGCCCTACCGTGGGGCTGGCACCTCCACTCCAGAGAGGTCCCCGGCCTCCGCCTCCCATCTGCAGCCCTTCCCCCGCCCCGGCGGGCAGCCCTGGAGCCTGGGTGCATTTGGGATCTCCCCGCGGCAGCTGTAAGGGAGCCCAGAGCTGATGTGGACTCCCATCCCCACAGCTGGACCGGGGCCCACCTGCCCCGCTCCTTTCCTCGGGGAGTCACCACTTCTCGCCCCAGAGGATACACCGTCAGGGAGTCCAGGGGGTCTCTGGGTGTGGGGCCTCAAAGGAAGAGGGGACGAGGTAACTGAGAGTCCCATGGGGGCTGGGGGAGAGGGGAAGGCCCTAGGAGGGGAGGCAGTGACCCCACACACATAGCTGCACAGGCCCAGGGCTGTGGCTAGTGAGCAGGGCTTGCTGACCTGTGGCTGGAGGCTAAAACACCCCCACATCTGGGCCTCTGTTCCCATCTGCAAACAAACAGGGTGACAGGGCCTGCCTCCAGCTTTGCCGCGGCCTTCAGTAGCCTGAAAGGGCCGGGGGAGTGTTGTTTATGAGCTGAGGTGCTGCAGTTGTGCGAGGGGCCACCTGGAAAACTGCAGGGCGCTGCTTCCACAGGACCAGGGGAGGGAGGTGGGGAGTTGTGCAGTGGGGAGGGGGCTGTGGGGTCCTGGATCCTTCTCCCACTCCCCAGAGGGGCTTGGTTGCAATGTACTGGGGATTTATTTGTCCAAATTGTAACATTTGTGGAGAACTTATTTTTGTGCCTGGTCCTGTTCTAGGGTATGGGGCCACGAGCACACCTGGGGTGGACAGCTGATAGATAAACACACAGCCAGGGCCACTCCTGACAGAGGCCAAGTGCCATCAAGAAAACACAGTGTGGCTAGCAGGGAGAGATGGTTAAGTAGGGGTGGCCAGAAAGGTGAGACAGCGCTGGGAGGGGAGCAAGCCCTGAGGTAGGCAAAATTTGGGGAACAAGCCAGGGCCTGGGGAATGGAAGGGACAGAGGCAGAGCAGTAGGCAGGGGTCAGGTCAAGGTGGGGGCCCAGGGTTTCTCTTCCTTCTGGGGGCTCCTAGTTGGGCTGTTGGCAGCTCACTTGGAGTGGC